CGTGCTATATGTATGCATGACACAAGGCTAGTAAACCTGGTGCTGTGATAAGGTTCCGACGATTGAAGTGTCCCGTATGGATCCTTCCTGAATTCGGTAAAAGCGATTCGGTAGCACGCAGCCTACTCGGCGCCTATGATTATAATAAATATAGTTCAAGCAACAAATCTAGGAAATCAAGCAAAAGCATGCATAATAAAATAAGCCTAAGCAAAATAATGCATGAGAAAGTAGATAAAGTAAAGTATATGTATGCAAAGCCATCGTACTCTCACACATACGAGCCGCAGCATCTTGGGACTACCACACTGACAGGGCTATGTGGGCTCTGTCAAAGAGCTCCTGCACCTCGTTGTCAGAATATTATGCTCTAGCCTGTAGTGGGGTGCTCTATAGCGAGTACAACCTTTTTAGGGTTTGCTATTTGTATCCTCATTCTTGCTAGTGCAATCCCCTCTTTTGCCTAACTCTCTCTTGCCTAGCTAGGTAAACCCTAGCTATGGCTCCTCACTATACCTACTACTCTCACATGCTATCAGAGCAGTGTCGCTCCTGGCCTGTGGGCCCGCCTGCTTCCGCTGCCCTACTGTCTGTCGCGCGCCCCGTGGCGTGCGATGTACATTTTTTCTTCCCGCCACGCGCTCGGGGCGCGTGGCGGTTTTCTGCCCGCCATGCGCTCGGGACGCGTGGCGGTTTCCGTCAACCCGCGCGCCCGTCCACGTCGACCTTCGCGCGGCTCCCCGTCGCCCTTCGCGGCGGCCCCGTCGCCCTTCGCGGCGGCCCCGTCGACCCGCCCGCGGCTCCCCGTCGACCTTCGCGGCGGCCCCGTCAACCCGCGCGCGGATCCCCGTCGCCCTTCGCGGCGGCCCCGTCGACCCGCGCGCTGCCCCCGGGGACCTGTGCACTCGTCCCCGTCGACCCACGCGTCGCCCTCTGCCCCCCCCCCCCCCCCCCCCCACCCCCCCCCTCTCTGACACACCTGAGTCTGCTTACCGCACACCTGAGTTCGCTTCCCGCACACTTGTGCACTATTCGCGCACACCTGAGGTCGCTTACTGCACACTCAGGGTATGGGGGTGACGGGAATGGGGGTGGCGGGTGTGTGAGCCGTCACCTGCTCCTGCTCCTCCTCCGTCTCCCACTACTGCAGCTGCCGCTGAGGGGGGTGGGTGTGTGGGAGCCGAAGGAGTGGTGCAAGGGGGGTGCGTGGGAGTGGAGCTAGCGGTGTAGCAGCGGGTGTGTGCCAGGGGGAGTGGGATAGTTTGGGGAAGTTGAATGGAGGTTGCCGTCGTGTCGCCAGCAGCACCTGTATTCCGGGGACTTCGTCCGGTAGCCCAGTCGTAGCCAGCTATGCCAGCCGCCCGTGGGTCCGTTGCTCGTCTGCCGCTACTTTAGCCGCGGGGCCTGTTACTCCTGTATTCCGGGGACTTCGTCCGGTAGCCGCTGTGCTAGTGTGCCTCCTGTTGCCCGTGTGTCTGCAGCTTCAGTCGTCGCCTCCTATCTCCTCTCCTCTTACAGTCTTGCCTCCTCCTCCTCACTTTCCCTCTGCGATAGCCTCTAGCTTTGCTTACATTTGTGAACTTTAAACTGTTGCTTCTTGAACTTGTGCTCAGAATGTGTGGTGACATTGTGATCCACCCTGAGCTTGTTTTGCTTTGCTTGCTCTACTGATTACACCCCACTTTGGCTATGGGGGTGTGTCAGAATATTATGCTCTAGCCTGTAGTGGGGTGCTCTATAGCGAGTACAACCTTTTTAGGGTTTGCTATTTGTATCCTCATTCTTGCTAGTGCAATCCCCTCTTTTGCCTAACTCTCTCTTGCCTAGCTAGGTAAACCCTAGCTATGGCTCCTCACTATACCTACTATTTTGACACTCGTCTGTAGTTTCCTCAGGAAGGTCACGAGGGCGAGGAGGCGAACATTGGTCATCAGAGACGTGCGCCAAGAGTGTGTCGCCATTCTGGCACTGACTCTGTAGGTACAACTGTGTGCGGAGGAGCCAGGTGGGGAACTCTAGTGCTCTACCCTCCGCATCAAAACGTAGGGATCGACGAGTCGCCATAGCTGATGCTCGACCAGACTAGGGGCAAAAGGGCACGAACGAACGAAGCCGGAGATGAGAAAAGCCACAATGGCTAGCCTGGTCATTACAGCCAGAAGGGATAGTCTAGACACACCAGGAACTAGCCCTAATCTACCTGAGCAAGGGCGACCGCGGCTGCCGGCTGCTGCGGGGAAAACCTATGGCAGTAGGTGAAGCCTTAGAATGAGGGGTCGAGGGGCCTCAGGACGAGGGGCCGCGGGGCCTTAAAAATGGGCGGCCAAGGGGCCTAGGAACGAGGGGCTGTGAGGCTGCTATGGTGCTCACGTCAGCTGCTGCTCGGAGCGGGGCGGGTAGCGTGGGCAGCGCAGAACGGGGTGGGTATCGCGGGCCGGGTAGCGTGAGACAGGCAACGCGCGGTGCGGGTACCACAGGGCCAGCTGCGCAGAGCGGGGCGGGTAGCGTGCGGGCAAGACAAGCTGCGCGCGGGCGGGTCGGGCTGGGTGCGGGCGGGACATGTTGCACGTGGAAGGGCCGGGCTGCGCATGGGTGGGACGGGTTGCGCGCGGGCGGGACGGGCTACGCGTGGGCGGGACAAGCTGCGCGCGGACGAGACTCAGTGCGCGTGGGCGGGACGGGCTGCGCGCGGGGGTGACAGGTTGTGCGCAGGCAGGACGGGCTGAGCGCGGGCTGGACAGGCAGTTGCTCGTGACGCGACCGGGCGAAGAGCGCGCGGAGCGAGACGTATGAAACTTAACAACGAGCGGGAAAACTAACCTAGGTTCCAAGGAACAACCTAGCGCATGATACCATCTCAAAGTGTGCAAGAAGAATGATTACATTAGGAAGGATTAGCATACAAGTACAAAACCTAGAAGGTGTTATTCTCCCTATTGCTTATCTCATTGAAGCCTAACATCAATATGCATAAGTTGAGAGGTCTTACAAGTTGAAATTGGCAAGCAATTGTAGTTGGTCCTAATTGTTGACAATTTTAGTGTGCCGGTGATTGCCTTTTATAAATTTCTGTGAAAATGCATGGTCATATAATTTATTAGTCCCATTTTATGGAACAAATCTCGAGCATTAAGAATATGAGAATATAGTAGCTAAAGGTAGCAAATTAGACATACATTATTATTATTTCTCTTTCATTAATACAGCCTGAATCGAAGATTCCATTATGCTTTGTACGGCACATTGTAAAAGAGCCGAATTCAATAAATGAGTCCTCGTGCTTGCGCTTTGCGGTTCATTATCAGTGTCCATTTTCTCGATAATCTCTATGTCACATAGCTGAGATTTGGCAACTGGCTTAAAAACCCGCGTGCCAAGAAGTTCAACCTTAGAAAGGTTGGTTGGGGCGAGCAATGCAATTGGCCAAGATTTTGGGTGTTGGCCAAACTCAACAGAGGTTAGGAAGGTTGAACCAATTTAGGCCTTCTTGGCCCCCCGGTTTTAAGATGTCATTCCATGCTCGCCAAAAAATTTCGTTAGATTCCGAAGCTGCCAAGTCTTCCGCCTTCCTCTTTCCCATGCCGCACATAACATTCCCAATGTCAGTGGGACCCTCTTTTACAAGTGATTTAGTATCCGCTTGTTCAACATCCCAACATATGATGTAAATGAGCCTCGGCAACAGGTTCGTCATTCCAAATCACACTCCCCAAGACTCTCGCTAGCTTCCAAGCCTACCCTGTTTCCCACGTTTCACGTTTTTCCATGGGTTCTCTAGTGGGATTTTTCCATGCTGTCAAATAAAGCGCATTTGTTGCATTTTTATTCGTCCCTGCTCAAATGCACAGTGCTATGACATTAGAGGCTAGGAAGCGGCAATGCCATGGTCACCCCAGCCCTTGCAAAATCTGCTACCCCCAAGAAAGCCACCCTATAGACGAGGAATCTGCGGAGCTGCCTCGCACCCACTGCATCACTTTCTCCCCATCCGTGCCTCTCGCTGCATTCTTGCTTCAGCCTCACACCCGATTCGCGCCTCCCGTCAAACCCCGTAATATAGCAGTGGAAAAAAATATAAGAGCTTAGGGGATTTCTATTCCCATTCATTAACCAGTTCTGTGAATCATCGCTCAGCCTTCCAGCTTCCACGGCCCCCTGATTCTACCAACGCTTCGGTATATGCAGCTGAAATATTCGAGTGCTCTATATTAGTCTCTAAGCTACTTAGCCAGTCTGTCCTCCCTACTCCGACCATCAACGAGATGGCCTGCATCATTGTTAAGCATGCCTGTGTGGAGATTTACTCCCTCTTCTCAAGCTGTTGCGAGCAGGATGACTCCCTTGGACGCTTCGTTTGCAGCCTGGTCTCTCTTCCGTCCTTGGTAAGAAGGACTTTCCACCTTCCCTTTTCCCCTTCCTTGACTTATCTTACAAGTTACCTTCTTACTTTACTTCTTACCTTTTCCCTTACTTTACTAAAGTAGATGCTAACGAGGATTTGCCTTGAAACTTGGCAAGTCGACTTCCAGTGGACCAGGTCAAGCGATCAAGTAGCAGCCAAGGCTGCTCCGTGTCAGAATCCCAACCACTAGACCATTGGGATAAAAATGCTTGTTTCAGTAGCGAGTCAGTGCGCCCATAAACCCCCAGGCGAACGCGCCTGTAACCCTCTCCAGGATCAATCGGGCATCCACAGTGCAGATCTACTGACACCCCCCCACACTAGGAGGCCCAGGACTCAGCACAGCGGCAACGGCCTACATGTGCATACATCGGGAATCGAACCCGAGACCGCTCTGATACCATGTCAGAATCCCAACCACTAGACCATTCGGATAAAAGGGCTTGTTTCAGTAGCGGGTCAGTGCGCCCATAACCCCCCAGGCGAACGCGCCTGTAACCCTCTCCAGGATCAATCGGGCATCCACAGTGCAGATCTACTGACACTCCGATCGTGGTCGAGGCTTGTGCAGCCAACCTAGACGCCGCTGCTCTCATTAATGGGCATCTGCCATCAGTGTCCTAGTGCTGCTAACATCAGTGTCAAGGCTCCTAGTGCTGCTGACATCAATGTTAAGGCTCTTGGTGCTGCTGGCATCGATGTCAAGGCTCCTGGTGCTGCTGATACCAATGTCAAGGCTCCTGGTGCTGACATCAATATCGAGGTTTCTCCCATCAGTGTTAAGACTGTTTCTGTTGACCTTCAAGCTACTGTTGTTAAACTCGAGACCCCAGCTTACTTTGTCAATACTTTTGACTGAGGAGGAAGCGTTCGGGTTGGGTGTGGAATCACAGGAAGGAGCTCCTTCATTCCCGGTCGTGGAGGCACAGCAGGGTGTCAATGTGGGAGTCAAGGAGAGCAGCGGCTGCTGCAATCTGACTCGCAGTGAGGGCAATTGCAGCAGCCATAGTGCGCGCCTTATTGTCCTCTCCCGGGATACCGACACCACCTCCTCCACTTCCTCCTCGCTTCTTAGTGACTTTTCCTCCTCTGCAGTCAGCAGTGTCACAAACTTCATGGGTGTCGAGATGGGGATTGGCCGGGGCTTTTGCAGCAATGGGAGGGGATGGACAGTGGAGGCGAAGGGTGTTGGGGAGCTGGTGGAAAAAGATGTGCTTTCAAACCAGCTGTTCGGGGATGGCATGGAGGGGGATAAGAGTTACAATGACTTCATATCTTCTGGGAAGGGGAGCGCACAGGGATCAAGGAGGCTTGTGCAGCCGTGGGAAGTGGTGGAGCATGGTGGCGAAGGATGCTGAGGAGCCGGTTGGAAAAGGCGGGTTTTTAAGCCAGCTATTTGAGGATGATGACGAGGAGGATGAGGAGAGTGATGAGAGTTACAACCAGGGCTTTGGATTGGGTGGGATAAGGAGTGTGCGTTACATGAACCAGTTGTACATGGATGAGGAGGAGGAAGAGGACAGGAGCTGCATGGTAGCAACGGCGGTTTCAGTTGGCATCGCCAGGTCTGGTGCATGGCGGAGAATAACCAGCTCTCGCACCAGAGTCACCCTCCAGAGAATGAGTGCATTTCTACGACAGTTCTATAATAGGTTACAACAAATGCCTTATGTAAGGGCAATAACATCTGTGGTCAGATGGAACGAGATGCACTGGACTGCCACCGGTCTTGTGTACAACAACAATATTATAGTTTCAATCTACTCTAGTTCTATTTGAACTCACTAGACTCGACAGCAGGAAATGATGTTGCAATGAAAGTTATAAATGACATAGCAGCGATTTGCAAACCATTTTCTTTCATAAAGGACCCGCCGGCAAAAGGGTCCCCCGGGACTCTCTATAGAGTATTGGGACTCGCCCACCCGCCACTCTCTAGATAGGGGGGGAGCTAGTTGCTGTGTTTGTGGGGGGCAATCTAGCAGTGCTCCAGTTGACTGTCAGGGGGCTGATCTGCCTTGATTCGCCAATGCTGGAGGTTAGGGATGAGATGTTAATAGCTGTGTGTGTGCTATCTGCCCATTTTGGAGATGCTAGGGGGGTTGATAGCCGCAGTGTGTGTGTGTGTGTGTGTGTGTGTGCGTGTGTGTGTGTATCTGTGTGTGTGTGTATATATATGTGTGTGTGTGTGTGTGTGTGTGTGTGTGTGTGTGTGCGGGACGATTTGTCCAAGCCCAAAGTCCCACCTGCAAGCACTCCACCAAAAACAAGCAATAGAAAAACCTTGTTTCACAATTCCCTTGTTTCGCCAGTCCCTTGTCTCGCCAGTCCCCTGTCTCGTCATTCCCTTGTCTCGCCATTCCCTTGTCTCGCCATTCCCTTGTCTCGCCATTCCCTTGTCTCGTCATTCCCTTGTCTTCGCCATTCCCTTCTCTCCCCATTCCCTTGTCTCGCCATTCCATTGTCTCGCCATTCCCTTGTCTCGCCATTCCCGTGTCTCGCTATTCCCTTATCTCGCCATTCCCTTGTCTCGCCATGCCATTGTCTCGCCATTTCCTGTCAAGGAATCTCACACCTGTCTTCTCTCCTCCATCCTCACCTCACTCTGTGGCAACGCCTTTCCTTGCTGTTATGTACCACCCAGCAGTTTTCTCTTTATATTCTCTTCCCCCTCTTCCATTTCTTCCATTCCTTGCATCTCCTGTCCTCTCCCTTCCCCTCTTCTCCCTTCCGCTCTTCTCACTTCCCCTCTCCTCTCTTTCCTTCGCCCCCATCGCCCATGCTCCCCACATGCTCTCTCATTTCATGCTCTCCCCCCTTCCTTCTCCTCCCATCTTCCCTCCTCTCCCACACCACCCCAGGTGATGAAGCGGGCGTCAGAGCGTGTGTTTGTGCCGCTCACAGTGGGGGGCGGCATCAGAGACATCACCTCCTCCCCATCCTTAATCTCCCAATCCTTCATCTCCCCCACATCCCCCTGCAACCGTCCACAAGTATTGAAGCGCGCATCGGAGAGGGTGTTTGTGCCGCTCACAGTGGGAGGCGGCATTCGAGACTTCACGGACGCCAATGGCAGGTGGGCCGTGGGACAGGTGGGTTGTGGGACAGGTGGGCCGTGGGACAGGTGGGCCGTGGGACAGGCTGGGCACTCATGCTCGTGGTGTCGTCGCTGATGGCAGTTGAGATGGCAATTGGGTCGTGGTGAGCCGTGGGACAGGTGGGCCGTGGGACAGGTTGGGCACTCATGCTCGTGGTGCCGCCGCTGATGGCAGTTGAGATGGCAATTGGGTCGTGGGGCCATGGCTCCTAGACTTAGGCTGCCGCCTAGTCTTCGCCGTTCTTAGACCTAGGCCGCCGCTTTCCTCCCCGTCTGCCCTAAACGCCCTAGCCATCACGCACGCCAGCGTGCACGCCAGCGTGCACGCCAGTGCGCCACGCCAGCGCGCCACGGACGGCCCGCCCGTTGATCCGCCGCGCGGCTCACCCGCCAGCGCACTGCGCCGCTCGTCCGTCAACCCGCCGCGCCGCCCGTAGGCCCGTGCGTCGCGCCGCCCGCCCGTCGACCAGCCGCGCAGCCCGCCCATCCACCCGTCGCGCCACCCGTAGGCCCGCGCGTCGCGCCGCCCGCCCATCGACCCGCTGCGCCGCCCGCCCATCGACCCGCCGAGCCGCCCGTAGGCCCGCGAGTCGCGCCGCCAGCACGTCGCGCCGCGCGCCCGTCGACCTGCCGCGCCGCCCGCCAGACAGCGCGCCACGCCACCCTCCAGCCAGCATGCTGCGCCGCCTGCCTGTCCACATGCTGCGCCACCTACCCGCCTGCACGCCTCCGCACCTGCCCAAACGCTACTGACTGTCTCCCCCCTCCCGCGGCTGGCAGCCGCGATCTCTCAGTTTTGCCCTCTATGGCGACCTCCTGAGTACTACGCTTTGACCTTGAAGGGAGACCTATTGATTTTAGTACGTGGCTTACGCAGGCGCAGTGCCACCTTAAGAGCCAGCGGCAGGATGGCGTGCACCTGTTCGCACAAGTTTCCGGCACTCAGACCGCCCCTCCGCAGCCTCCGCCGGTGCCCACTACCCCACCGCCTACTTCTGAGCAGGAGGCCGACTACCAGCGCCAGCTCCTCGCTCGCGACGTGTGGGAGTCTCGTGACGCCGCTGCCTGCCTCGCCCTGAGCGACCTCCTCCCGCCGACAGAGGCAGTCCACTTCACTCAGGTCGAGTCTGCTGCAGATCTGTATAAGGCTATGTTACTCGCTACTCCACTCCCTCCTCTGCTTCGCTCAGTCGCCTCCTCGTACCCTTTATCTACCCTGACCTCACCTCCTTTGAGACTGTCTCTGACCTCGCTACCCACCTGCGCTCCCTTGACTCTCGCTTTCGCGCTGCTTGCACTGAGGACCAGCTTGCCCTTGCCCCGCCCCCTATGTGGCTCACTATTGACTGGCTAGTCACTCGCCTCCCTGACCGCCTAGCCACAGCCCGCGACGCGCTTCTTCTGAAGCACCCCACTGAGCTTACCATTGATCTTCTTGAGACTGCTCTCTCGAAGATCCAGAGTAACCTCCTCAGTGTTGCCTCTGCCTCTTCCGCGCCTCCTCCTTGTCTTTTTGAGGGGTGTGCGGTACCCCAGCTTCCCACCTTCACTGCCTCACTTGCCACCCCCACGTCTTCTGCCTTTGAGGAGACGGCGGCTGTTTCTGTCTCTGGCGGGCAGAAACGTGGCAAGGCCGGTAAGAGGGGCGGGAAGGGCGGCAGGGGTACTAGAGGTGGTGCGGGTAGTGGCGGTGGCGGTGGAGCAGGTGGTGGGAGTGGTGGTGGGGGTGGCACGGGACCTGAGGACCCTCCTTTTGACGGTGGAGTTTTCACTGGTGGTGAGGGGTTCCAGCAGCAGCAGCAGCAGCCGACTCTTCAGCAGCTGCCACCGCCTGGACAGCAGCAACATCACGGACAGCAGCAGCAGCGATAGGGCCAGCAGCAGCGCCCGCCACAGCAGCGGCCTCAGCAGTGGGGCCCTTCGCAGCAGTGGGGCCCTCCGCAGCAGTGGGGCCCTCAGCAGCAGTGGAGGTCTGCACTGCGCAGTGGCGCCCCCTCCAGTCGGGGACCTCGCTCGGCCGGCCGCGACGTTGGTCCCTGTGAGTGCTGGATTCTTACAGGTCCTCGTAGGGACTCGTACTGTGGCCGCCCCGACCACTCAGCTGCACGTTGCTTCAGTCGTCTCGACGACCTCTACCTCTTGCACCACAGCCCTCCGCTCCTCCGCCGCCACGCTGGGGGACACTTCTTGCTCGTGGTATTGTTGTTTTTTATATGACTATAGATGATGCTAGGTTATATGCCATGTATGCTGATGTTGACTATAGTGCTCCTGGATCTGTGTACTTGCCTGTACCTAGCTTAGGATCTTTACCTGTTGCTAGAGTAGGTGCTAGTGTGGGATCTTGTTTAGCTACTAGTATAGGTACTCCCTCGGCGGACGCGTCTCTCTCCTTCATACTGGACTCAGGAGCATCGCACTGCTTCTTCCGCGACTGCATGACTCTCTCCCCGCTACCGGCGCCTATCCCTGTAGCACTGTCCGATCCCTCTTCGGGACTGGTCATTGTGACTCACGCCACTACAGTCCCGTGCCCAGCTGCTCCTTCCGGTTCCCTGACTGGCCTCCACGTTCCTACGTTCTTTAGGAACCTGGTTGGTGTGGGCACCCTGTCGAGACAGCACGTTGGAGTCTTGGTTGAGCCTTCTGGTGACACCGCGGTCTGTGTGGACGGTGACACGTACGCCCCCTTGGCCACTTTTTGCCAGGAGCTGGGCTCCGGTCTGTACACCCTCCACACCGACCCCCGTCAGGTTCCCCCGTCCCACCAGGTAGTCAGGTCTAGTCAGGTTGTTGTGTCAGGTGTGGTTGCTGCGTTGTGCTCGTGTCGGTCGCTTGCCCACCCTTCCCTCCTCTGGCACCACCGCCTTGGTCACCCTTCCCTTCCACGTCTCCGTGCTATGTCCAGTCAGCGTCTTGTCTTAGGGCTCCCCCGAGTCCTCCCGCCACTCCCGCCGTCCCCAGCTCCTCCGTGCAGTCCTTGTGTCCATGGTCGGCTGCGCGCCACCCCTCACTCCTCCCTTCGTCCGGCCACTGAGCCCTTCGAGACACTCCACTTAGACGTCTGGGGCCCCGCTCCCCGCCTTGGCCCTGAGCAGGAGAGTTTCTTTCTAGTGGTCGATGACGACTACTTTCGGTACACCACCGTGTTCCCTTTGGAGAAGAAGTCCGACGTGACTTCTACGCTAATTCGGTGGCTCCTCGCCAACGAGGGCACTCGCGGTCGTCGTGTCAGCTGTCTCCACTCCGACAGTGGGGGTGAGTTTCGCTCCGGCATTCTCGCCAGATTCTGTGCTGAGCAGGGCATCACCCAGCCCTGGACTCTTCCACACTCTCCACAGCAGAATGGGGTTGCCGAGCGCCGCTTAGGACTGGTCATGGAGATCGCCCGCACCTCCATGATCCACGCTCGCGCGCCCCATTTTCTGTGGCCCTATGTGGCTCAGTACGCCGCTCACCAGCTGAACCTCTGGCCTCGTGTCTCTCGATCAGGGGCTTCACCGAACAGTCTTTGGACAGGGTCCCCTGGTGTTGCGTCGAGGTTATAGTCTGGGGCTGCTTGGCTCTTGTCCGCGACACCTTTGCGGACAAGATCTCGCCTCTCGCTGTCCCCTGTATCTTCCCTGGTTTCCCAGAGGGCTCCTCTGACTTCACCGGTTCTTTGACTCTTGTGACGTCCGTTTCGACGATTCCGTCCCCTACAACGTCCGGTACCCCTGTCGAGATCTCCCGGTTCCCCCCCTCCCCTCTTCCTGGCTCCAGCTCCTCCTCCTCCCGCCCCTACCCAACCCTGTGTGCATTCCTCACTGCCCCCGTTGCTCTCACTGTGTGCATTCCTCACTGCCCGTGTTGCTCTCACTGTGTGCACTCCTCATTGCATGTGTTCCTCTCACTGTGTGCATTCCTCACTGCCCGTGTTGCTCTCACTGTGTGCATTCGTCACTGCCCATGTTGCTCTCACTGTATGCGTTGCAGCATGTTCAAAAGATAGGCAAGACGGGGATAGAGCAGATCTCCTACGTGCATGGCAACCAGGTGAGGGTTGTGAGGCAACCAGGTGAGGGCTGTGACGCAACCAGGTGATGCCACAATGCCTATCAATCCCAGATGCATGCTCAGAAATCATGTGCAGGTCATAGTCAAACTGCAGGTCAAAGTCAATCTGCAGGTCAAAGTCAATCTGCATGGCCCGTTTCCATCTCTTGTCATTTAGCGTGGTTGATTTCTCCCCCTTTTTCTTCCCCGCTGCACTCATGCTATCTTCTCCCTAGCCCCACTCCCTCTCCCCTCACCTGGGTGCCATGTCTTCTCTTGGCCTCTCTGCCTCTCTGTCTTCTGCCCCCATAGGCGGTGGTGGTGAGCATAGATCCCAAGAGGGTGTATGTGACCTCACCACACGTCGTGTCTTTCTGAGTTGCTTACTCTCCCCCTCTCTGCCCATCTGCCTCTCTGCCATCCCAACAGGCGGTGGTGGTGAGCATAGACCCTGAGAGGGTGCACGTGTCCTCGCCAGACGACGTGCCTTTCAAATGCGTCAAGGCATCAACGCCAGGTGCACTGCGTGCCCGCTCTGCTCCCTCTGCTCCCTTTTTTGCCACAAGTCCTTGGTTAAAACGGGCTCGCTGGTCTGCCATGTGTTCTATCATCTGAGCCCCATGACTCACTTCGTCTCACAAAACATCTAATCTCTCTTATGCTAACCTTGCCACTCAACCTTCCTCCTCCTGTGGCTTATGCCTTGTGGCCTCCTGTCTTTCCTGTTCCCTGATGCAGGCCCAAACGGGGAGGAGTGTGCATGGTACCTTTGCACGGTGAGACGGAAGGAATCATGCTGTCACGTGTGTGTGTGTGTGTGTGTGTGTGTGTGTGTGTGTGTGTGTGTGTGTGTGTGTGTGTGTGTGTGTGTGTGTGTGTGTGTGTGTGTGTGTGTGTGTGTGTGTGTGTGTGTGTGTGTGTGTGTGTGTGTGTGTGTGTGTGTGTGTGTGTGTGTGTGTGTGTGTGTGTGTGTGTGTGTGTGTGTGTGTGTGTGTGTGTGTGTGTGTGTGTGTGTGTGTGTGTGTGTGTGTGTGTGTGTGTGTGTGCCCGCGCGTGTGCGTGCGCACACTGCACGCGGGTGCACACGTACGTGTGCGCTTGTAAGCTTGCACTGGTGCTACACATTATGTGTGTGGGTGGGTGCATGTATGGCAAGGGCGCTCATGTGATAGCCATGTGACTGTGGGACTGGGTGATTCTCATCTCACCATGCTGTCTTCTCTTCCCTCTGACCATTGTAACCTCTGCTGCTGCAAGTGAGCGGAGGCAGGGAGGGGCGGCCCATAGGGGCGTTTGAGCTGGCGCAGGCTGTGGAGCAGCTGGGGGCGAGGGAGATTCTGCTCAACTGCATCGACTTCGGTGGTGAGTGCCATGGGATGGGATGATGAGGCGTGACAGACACACCCATACTGGGGAGGGCTAGGTAGGGTGTTCATGTGGCTGCCTGGTGCAAGCAGTGGAGCAGCTGGGATGATGATGGTAAGGCATAGGGTGTTCATGTGAGTGACCCAGGCAGTGCCTTTGATCTCCACCTGGTGGGAATGGTGTCCTCAGCAGTGAGCATGCAGGTGATCGCCAACAGCTGGACTTGAACTCATTCCCTCCATGTAATTCCTTCTCAGCCCCTCGTTCCTTCTCTTACCCCTCCCCCCTCGCAGGTCAGGCCCAGGGGTTTGACTTGGACCTGGTGGGGCAGCTGTCCTCAGCAGTGAGCATCTCTGTGATCGCCAGCAGAGCAGCAGCGCAGGCATCCCAGAGCACTTCTCCCAGGTCGTTGCTCACACAGGCGCCTCTCGTGCCCCCTTCCCATGGCAGGTCAGGGCCGGGGCTTTGACTTGGACCTGGTGGGGCTGGTGTCTTTGGCAATGAGCATCCCTGCCATTGCCAACAGCAGTGCAGGCATCCCAGAGAACTTCTCCCTGGCCTTTGCTCACACAGACGACTTGGCTGCCCCCTTGCCTTCCTTCTCCCTGTCACAGGCCAGGGCCAAGGATTCGACTTGGATCTGGTGGATTTGTTTTTGAAACGTCTCAAAAGACGTCTCAAAACACTTCTTCATACACGTGGCTTTCCTTATCCCTGTCACAGGCCAGGGCCAGGGATTCCACTTGGATCTGGTGGAGTTGGTCTCCTCTGCAGTGAGCATCTCTGTAATCACCAGCAGCGGGCAGGCATCCAAGAACACTTCTCGTAGGTCTTTGCACGCACTGGTGCCTCCGCTGCGCTGGCTGCCGGCATTTTCCACCACAATGAGGTGAGGGGATTCGAGGGAGCTTAGCTGATGCCATGCCAGCACGGTCAACCGGAGGAAGGCGGTTTATTTGACGGTTTCAACTGAAAAGACACTGTGTAGATGTGTCAGCGCTAGCACTGTCAAGGCGCCTCCGCTGCCGGCATCGTTCACAGCAACGAGGTGAGGGTCTTGTTTGTTGCATGTGGAGTGCTGCATTTTCCCCAAGGAAGGGCTGGCCATCCTGGGAGTGTGCGGGTGTTTGATTCTCTGTCCATGCGCCCAACCCGCTTCCAATATGTGTGTGAACGCGTCCTTGCGTTTGTGTGCATGCTTGCACGTGTTCGTCTGTGGGGTTGTCCATTTGTGTGCACGTGTGTCTGTGTGTCTGTATGCCCATTTGTCTGTGTCTCTGCATATGCACGTGTGCCCATATGTCTGTGTCTCTGCATGTGAACGTGTGTCTCCCACAGGTGACAATAGAGTCGGTGAAGACCCATCTGGCAAAGGAGGGTGTGGAGACTCGCTTGTTGTGAGCCGCACAGAATCAAGCGGCGCATCATAGATAGCAGCAATGTGAGGCAGATGACAGTGCCACATGTCAAACATTATATATGTTGTTGTAGTTGTTTAGGCTACAGTGGGTTAGCCTATAGGGGGTACACATTTCTAGGTTTTCATACTTGTACTCATTTCACTGTTAGTTCACCCCATCCTTGTTCAACATGGTATAGAGCAGGTCCTTTCTAGGACCGTTTTTTCTTAGGGCCCACCACTACCTACCTGCCTACCTACCTACCTACGCCCTAGGGCGCCTCGGCGTTCACGCCCCTAGAGGCCCTGTCGGCCCCGCGCTCTCGCACCTAGAGGCCCCGAATCGGCCCCGCGCCTAACCCTAGAGGCCCGCGCCGGCCCCGCACTCGTCCCTTCCAGGCCCGCGCCAGCCCCGCGCTTACCCCTAGAGGCCCGCGTCGGCCCCGAGCCTACCCCTAGAGGCCCGCGACGGCCCCGCGCTTACCCCTAGAGGCCCGCGTCGGCCCCGAACCTACCCCTAGAGGCCCGCGACGGCCCCGCGCTTACCCCTAGAGGCCCGCGTCGGCCCCGTGCCTACTCCTAGAGGCCCGCGACGGCCCCGCGCTTACCCCTAGAGGCCCGCGTCGGCCCCGTGCCTACCCCTAGAGGCCCGCGTCGGCCCCGTGCCTACCCCTAGAGGCCCGCGTCGGCCCCGCACTTACCCCACCCGCTCCCCGCGCTCGCCCTTAGCGGCCTCGAACGGCCCCACCCAGAACGAGCCGCCCGTACCGAGCAGCCCAGCCCTACCGGAACCGAGCCGCCCGAACCGAGCCGCCAGCCCGAACCGAGCCGCGCCGCCCGACCCGACCGCCCGAACCGAGCCGCGCCGCCCGACCCGAGCCGCGCCGCCCTACCTATACTGAGCCGCGCCGCCCTACCTGTACTGAGCCGCGGCGCCCTACCTGTACCGAGCCGCGCCGCCCTACCTGTACCGAGCCGCGCCGCCCTACCTACCCTACTGCTCCTACTGTTCTTCCTACTGCTGCTACCATGGCTAGCCCCCCTGTGCTAGCCTTCGACGCTGAGGGTCGCCCAGTGAAGTTCGACACCTGGCTTGATGACCTACACCTCTTCCTACAGCTCACTGCCAAGGAAGACATCTCGCTGTACGATCACGCCTTAGGCCACGCTACTGCTCCTGCTGCTACTGCCGACAGCACTGCTCGCTCACAGTGGCAGACTCGTGACGCCCATGCTCGCTTCGCTATTCGCAACTCTCTGCCGATAGATGAGCGCAAGCACTTTGGGCAGCACAAGACTGCACAGGCACTGTACACTGCTGTCGTTGCCCGCTACTCCTCACCGGCCTCTGCCGCTCTAGGCCGTCTCTCTCTTCCCTACCTGTTCCCCGACTTAGCTTCCTTTCACACTGTCGCTGATCTCATTACCCACCTCCGCACGAGTGAGGCTCGCTTCCACGCCGCTATGCCTGATGAGTTCCTTGCCACGAACCCACCCCCGCTCTGGCTCACTCTCTACCACCTAGTCACGCGCCTCCCTGACTCGCTGCGCTCAGTCAGGGACCACTTCCTCGCTCGCTGCCCCACCGACCTCACCATTGCCCTCCTCGAGAAGGAACTCCTTGCAGCTGAGACTAGCATAGTCGCTGTAGGTGCCTCTCGCGGTGACACCCGTACCTCGTTCTTTGAGGGGTGTTCTCCCTCCCCCCTTCTTCCCTCTGTCGCCTCTGCTGCTGCTGTCAACCTCCTTGGTGCTGAGAAGGTCGGGACTGCGTCTGCTTTGAGCGGGCGCCGCAGCGGCAAGGGCAAGGGGGGCAAGGGCGGTGGTGGTGACAGCGGGGGTGGCGATGGTGGGGGAGGTGGTGGCGAGGGGGGTGGCGCGGGTGGAGGAGGTGGCGGCAGTGGGGGGGGTGGCGGCAGCGGCGGGGGAGGTGGCCGGGGCGAAGGAGGTGGTGGGGGTGGCAGTGGACGAGGCAGCGGCCAGGGTTGGGGTGGTCGAGGAGGTAGTAGCGGAGGTGGTGGTCGTGGAGGCACTGGCGGTGGCCAGGGCCAGCAGCACACTCCCTCGCCCCAGGAGGTCCGTGAGTGGTACTCTCAGCACGGGGGGGGGGGGGGGGGGTGGCCTTAGCTGCACGTACGTCATTCGCACTGGTGACCGCACTGGCCAGCCGTGTGGGGGACCGCACACCACACAGCGTTTCTTCGCTTGTCTGAAGGACGCTTGGCGTGTTCAGTTCCCTCAGGCCACTGAGCTGCCCCGCTGGCTTGATCTCCTGAAGAAGGGGATTGACATCTATGCTTTGGACTTTGATGCTATTCTCTCTGCCATGTATGTGATGTCTACTAGTGGAGAGGGTTCTGAGTACCTGAGTGTCCCGCCCGACCCGGGCAGTAGGACTAGTGCGTCTGCCGCTCCAGGTACTCGCGTGTCTGCTACCCCAGGTGCTGGTGAGGCTGCTGCTCTAGGTGCGTGTTCAGTCTGCCCCCCTAGTACTGTGTCGACTGCAGCACTGCACACCTTCATGCTGGATTCAGGTACCTCTCGGTGTTTCTTTCGTGACCGCACTGCCCTTGAGCCCCTTGCTCGGCCAGTTGCTGTCTCCCTTGCTGACCCCTCTGGGGGTCCAGTCCTTGCGACCTCCTCCACTGTCCTTCCCTGTCCTGCGGTCCCGTCGGGCACACTGTCAGGTCTCCATCTCCCCTCGTTCTCTACGAACTTGGTGGCAGGTTGTGCACTACAGGACGCGGGTGTTCACCAGTTCACCCCTGCCTACGAGCGTGTCACACACTGCACGTGTGCTCGTACAGGCCGCCACTTGGCTACCTACACCCGGCAGCCGGGGTCGGACCTGTACACACTGACTACTGCCCCCCCTCAGGTCGTTGCGTCTGCGTCTGCGTCCGCGTCAGGTCAGCTGTCCGCCCCCTGCTCGTGTCGCTCTCTAGCGCACGAGACTGTCCTCTGGCACCACCGACTGGGCCACCTGTCTGTGCAGCGCCTTCGTGCCATGCACTCCCGGTACCTTGTCTCTGGTCTGCCCAGGGTCCTCCCTCCCCTCCCACCCTCGCCTGCTCCTCCCTGTCTTCCCTTTGTCGAGGGGCGGCAGCGCGCCGCTCCTCACTCCTCCTCGTTTCCCCCGACGACTGCTCCTTTGCAGACGCTCCACATGGACGTGTGGGGCCCAGCCCGCGTCCGTGGTCAGGGTCAGGAGAGGTACTTCCTGATCGTTGTTGACGACTACTCGCGCTACACCACGGTCTTCCCCTTGCGCACCAAGGGTGAGGTCCGTGATGTTTTGATCCCTTGGATACGCAGAGCTCGTCTCCAGCTCAGCGAGCGTTTCCGTTCGGACTTTCCTGTCCTGCGCTTGCACTCTGACAGAGGTGGTGAGTTCTCCTCCGACCTCTTGGCAGCCTACTGTGCTGAGCACGGCATTGAGCAGTCGTTCACGCTTCCGGCCTCTCCACAGCAGAATGGGGTTGCGGAGCGCCGCATTGGCCTGGTCATGGAGGTCGCTCGTACCTCCTTGATCCATGCGGCTGCCCCCCACTTTTTGTGGCCGTTTGCGGTCTGGTACGCTGCGCATCAGCTCAACCTCTGGCCCCGTGTCTCCTTGCCGGAGACTTCGCCCACACTGCGGTGGACGGGGGAGGTTGGCGATGCGTCGCGTTTCCGGGTCTGGGGATCTCGAGCTTTTGTCCGCGATTCGTCTGCGGACAAGCTCTCCTCTCGTGCTATTCCCTGCGTCTTCCTCGGCTTCGTTACGGACGCGCCTGGTTGGCAGTTTTACCACGCCACCTCGCGCCGGGTCTTGCCCTCTCAGGACGTCACTTTTGACGAGTCTGTCCCCTACTACCGCCTCTTCCCCTACCGCACTGCCCCGCTCCCTCCCCCACCTCTCTTCCTCGCGCCCGGTGCTGCTGTCGTAGACCCCTTCCCCCCTCAGGGTGCCGCTCCCTTAGGTGTGTCTCAGGTAGACCCGGTCGAGCCTGTTGAGGTTGCTGTTGACTCCCGTCCTACTGGGGGTGCTGAGCCTGGGGGTGCGGAGACTGGGGGTGCTGAGCCTGGGG